AACCCTGAAACAACCTCTGGGCTAATCTAAGTCAGGGTATGGCTAACTCACAGATCACACCCTGAAACAACCTCTGGGTCGATCTAAGTCAGGGCATGGCTAACTAACAGATCAAAACCTGAAACAACCTCTGGGTTGATCTAAGTCAGGGCATGGCTAACTAACAGATCAAGCTAGAATTTAGCGTCGAAAATCTGGAATAGGGAGGGGAAAAAAACTCCTCGAATCAAGAGAGATTCTAGTCACAGGTGAAATCAAGTGCAGGAATCAAACCCTCCATCATCTTTGATTCCCTCACCACATCTCTTTTCTTTATTCACAACCAATAATAACAAATATAAAATGAATATTTTGTCAACAGAATAGAAAATTAGCTTCCACCATAATCAAAACCATAGATGATATAGCTACTTTAGTTCAAGATACGAAACGACCCGGAGAAAAGCCCACAGTATTGAAGACTGCAACCATGGAAATTGAATTGTCACGTGAACGAAGTGAAGATTTGAAAAATAAAAGCGTCTCGATTTCAGGCTTGAGCATGGAAACGAGCAATGAGATGTTTCCAGGCGAGGATTCGGGTGGTGGTAAAGAACCGCCAGCTATTGATTCAATGGTGAGAAAGTTATTAGATATTATTATAATTTATAAAATAACTGTTAGAAATCTCGCGCTCTGATTGGTTGGGAACGCGTGCTTTATGAGAGCACACAGCATAGGCATACACTTTCTATTCTGTCATTCCTATCAAGAATAACGGTTATTGTAATTTGTATTTTATAAAGAAGAAATACTGAAAAAAATGCTTGCTGTGTGGCGTGCAGTTTTAAATAAAGCGCTTGGAGATTGGCAGAACACGAGAGAAGTGTTGAGAAGCACTGCCAGCCCCTTGCGCGCTTTTTCTACTGAGTATTATATAAGCAATGGAAAACTGTTGTTAACTTTAACAACCCTACCTTCAACAACCTTGAGACTGGTCTGACTGTTCTAAGTCTGGGCATAACTAACTCACAGATAAAACCCTGAAACAATCTCTGGGCTGGTCTAAGTCAGGGCATGGCTAATTCACAGATCAAACCCTGAAACAACCTCTGGGCTGATCTAAGTCAGGGCATAGCTAACTCGCAGATTGAACCCTGAAACAACCTCTGGGCTGATTTAAGTCAGGGTATGGCTAATTCACAGATTGAACCCTGAAACAACCTCTGGGCTGATCTAAGTCAGGGCACGGCTAACACACAAATTCAAACCCTGATAATAATTTCCCAACCTAAACACTTATCAATACTGCATAATATATTTGTAATGTGTAATCTTTATCTTTTTTTAGATTCTAACATCTTCAAAGAATATTTATAATTACGACGAAAGTGCATATCTAGTTGAAGGAGGACAGGTTGCAACAATCGAGTTTAAAAACAGCACCACTAAAGATCCTTTGATGTTTCAAAACCTCTCCAAACCCGTAGAAATGTTTATTGATCGAGTCTCATCCGAACTGAAGCCTGTAACATACCCCATGGAAACAGACAGCTTGTATTTTATTCGCATGAACGTGTATATAAACGACAGCGCTGTTCATGTTAATGTCTACCCCGACAGCTGTGATTACGGGTTTCATGTCTTCATAAAAGTAGGATCTTTTCCCAGTGAGAATAGCTTTGATTACAATTATACACTTCCGCATGATGGACATTGGGACTTAAGCTCCAACTGCAGCAAGTCATCCAATCATTCGTCAGCATTCCAGATTTTCATGAGTAATAAGGACTTGAACCACACTGCTGCAGGACGTTACTACATCGGAATCAAGATCAAGCCTCGAAACTCAACCAAAAGCCTTGACATTCTCCCAGCAAACTTTACCACCGAGTTGTACACATCGAGCTGCATGTACTGGAATTCACAAAACGCTGGAAGCTGGAAGTCTGATGGCTGTGTAGTAAGTTACCTGCCACCTGTCAATGGCATTAGCGGGGAGGGGGGG